GGTCTCCTATAGGGGTTGAATTTAAATTTTCTGACAGGCAACCCACGCCTTTACATATGGGAGCCCCCATTCCCTCCCCTAGAGAAAAGCCCTAGTATCAAGGTTGAGCAAAATCACTCACCAGCCTCTCCCATGTATTTACAAAGAATACTGTTCCATTAATTGATTTTGTTTGACTGTAGGGTGGACATCAACTGACCATTATGTGAGAATATTATCAATGGCAACAGCAGTTACATTGTCAGGAGGGTAAGTGCAAATTTCTTAGCATCATATGCAAATTGCAGCTTTAATGATTCAAGAAAAATATACACTCAGATGGCATACTTTGACAAGTATTTAAGAAGATCGAGCAACTGTTGTGCTTGAAGGCATTTTTCGGCACCTGTGTCATCTGCTGAAACATGACTTTAAAGACATTAAACATTAAAGACCTATTCTTGGAGGAGTTGTAATTGCACTTGTGTAGCCCATGTGCTAGACAGTGATCATGAGGCGAGATCCAATTTTCACACTGACTCTTCAAGTCTGCAAACTAGACCATTGTACTCTAATATGCCCATCAATTACCTCTTTCATGGAATAGAAAGCTCTGCCAACAGAACTGTCTTTGATATATCAGTCCACAGCACTGGAGGTCACAGTGCATTGGTAACACCAGGAGCAGTGCCGTAGCAAGAGAAAAAAACTGGGGGACACAGAATTGGGCGCCAAAGGCACGAGCCGTTATGAGGGTCTGGGGGCATCCCTCCCAGAAAATTTTGAAATCTCGAGGTTTGGAGGTGCTAATTCCAGTGTTCTCCAAGAGCTATTTGTAATTTACACGTCTCGCAAATTACTCCCCACACTGTCTCAGCAAGTGAATGTAGATTGAAGAAAGTATAACAATTGCAAAGTCAATTACAAAATAACAAAACCAACGGTCTCTCAAGCAAGTGTTTCGCCTGTTATAGACTCAGAGTCAGGTATTAGCTCGTTATTAAACTGTCAGAGTTGCCTTAGATGCAAGATGCATGTCATTTTATGAAAACTTCCCGAACAAGTGCTTGCGCCGCTGTTTGTGCCCCACAAACAAATTCTTGGTAACTTCCACCATGTCAATACCATCTGCCAATTCCTTGTGGACATGCAGAAGCATGACGTGATTGAGCATGGTCTCTCTTGTGGTTGAGCGCAGGTAAGTCTTGAGCCACTTTAAGGCGGAGAAGGAGTGCTCGCTGTTGGTGTGGGTAGCTGGCGTGACAAGCATAAGCTTAGCAAGGGTGCAAATCTCACTCAATAAGAGTTAACAAGCATTTCCGATTGACTGAGAAAAAGTCCAGCAGATCAGCGATGTCAAATCTGGAGGTGTCTGCTTGCACCATTTCTGGAAGCAGGGACAGCTGGGGTTCTAGCTTGTACTGCTGCAAGTCAGTATCCCTGTACACTGCCATCGCTTTCAGTAGCTTTTTGTTGTGGTGTTCAGCATTTTATACATGTCTGGTTTTACTTTTGGGGTAAAAAAACTGGGGGGGCACGCCTCCCCTCTGGCCCCTCCCCTTGCTACAGCACTGGAGACTATGGATATCTGCAAACACATTCAAATGATTGCAAAATGCAACTTACACTAGAGGTGCCACCTTCCTTGCAGATTGCTGCTTGATCATTTCACCTTTGTTTAAACACCAAATCCCATCCCAGGCTTATGGTCTGACACTGGCTATCAACACTTTGATAGGCTAGAACCTCTGCTCATTACCTGGCTTAATACAGCCAAGGTATTGATGTAGTGACTACTGACACTACTCACAAAAGATGTGACAACTCATAAAAGATTTCCTCCACAGATCCTGATTTGCTACAAGGATGTCACTGCATGCAAGGACATAAAGTTGAATGTTAAGGGTTACATGGACACAAGGTTCAACCAACCTGCCAGTCCTTCAGGCCACTGCTTTCCAAATAGCCAGTGCACCCTACATTGAACTGAGGTTCTCCCACAACAGAGCAACTGATTTCCGTCTTCTTACTTTTAAGTAAGAAGAAGTTATCTAGTACCTATTTCATCATCATTGTCCTAGGACCACTATGTGCTTCTTCTCCTGCAAACAAGCCTTCAACAATCATGCTACACAGCTCCAATAATCTCTTTACACTTTGTGCTTATTGACCCTCAGTCTCGGACTCCACAGCCTCTTCCAGTGCCCTGATTCCTTTCCACATTAGGTCTCAGGGATGTAAACTTTGTGCACATACTCTGCTGACTTAGGCATGAGGTGGGACATGACTTACAGCAATTGGGAACAGTTACTGACTGCTGGCATGCCTGCTAAGTTAAGTTGAGTTGCGTTCATTGAAGCCACCAGTTGTAACTGTCCGCGTTGTCTCAGGTTTGTCAGTGGAAAATATGAACTAGTCTTAAATCACAGGATCACCTGTTTAACCAGACGTTTATGACCTTTCTCCCTCCAGTAGAAACCTTTCTTGGATTAAGATTTTAGGAGCAGAGCTGCAATAGCCACATCTGCCAAAGACGTTGGTAAAAGCGTGAGTTGGGATGCTTACAGCAAATGGGAACAGTTGTTGACTGCTGGCATGCCTGCCAAGTTGAGTTCAATGAAGCCACCAGTTCCAATTGCAGCTTTGTCCCAAGCTTGTCAGTGGAATATAAGAACTAGCTTTAAATCCCAGGATCACCTGTTTAGCCAGGCTCTATGACTTTTCTCCCTCCAATAGAAACCTTTCTTGGATTTGGAGCTCAGGAGTAGAGCTGTAAATAGCCACACTTGTCAAGGACTTTGGTGCATCTAGCCTGCAAGCAGGTTCAGAAAGGTGAACCTGATCACCGGCTGTGCTGTACCTAGCCTTCCCTTTCTGAGGTAACTACCAATTGCTGGGTCCCATAGCCTCCACCCTTAGGTCATAGTCACCCAATACACCAGTGGTGGCTTCATCAGTCAGTTTGGGAAGGAAGCAAACCTGTAAGCACCACAGTTTCAGCTTACCAAGATGGCCACACTTGTCTGTTGCCTTAAGGTCATCTTCAATATTCCAGCTGCTTTTGAATCTAAACTCTTTGATGCCTGTCT